AAAGTTTAATGTGGCTAGAGTTTAGCATCCAGGAAAAAGTGGCTAGACATGACACTAAAGAGGTAGACAGCCATTTCTGGCAAGCACAGAAATCTGGACTTGATTCTTACACAGTGAGGAATTAATATAGGCTTTAACATAATATGACCATAGCTATATTTGGAAGTACGGTGGCAGAAGCCAGGAAGAAAGTCTGGAGTAGGGGCTAGGAATGTGGCTTAATGGGAGAGTGTTTGCCTAGCATCCATGAAGCCCTGCGTTCAATTCCTCAGTATCACACAAACAGAAAAGGCCAGAAGTGGCACTGCGTTCAATTCCTCAGTATCACACAAACAGAAAAGGCCAGAAGTGGCACTGTGGCTGAAGTGGTAGAGCACTAGCCTTGAGCACAAAGAGGCTCAGGGACAGTGCTCAGGCCCTGAGTTCAAGCCTAGGACCAGAGGGGGGAAAAAAAAAGGAAAAGAAAAAACAAAGTCTTCAGTAGTACCATCCAAAAGACCTTAGGGGGCTGGGGATGTATCTCAGTGGTAGATCACCTGCCTACCATATTCAAGGCTCCAGTTTCAATCTGACACTGGAAAAAAAAAGTAATAAAAAAAGACCCTGCCACATGAGGCTATTAAGAAAATGAAATATGGCTAGTGTCACTAAGAAACTAAATTTAAAATTATATTTAATATTAATTTAAATTCAAATGGTCAAATATGGTATGGGCTACTGTACAGGACAGTGTAGCTTTAGAGAGAAGGAAATCACTAGACTATTAGCCTAACCCCAGGAGATAGAATGAGGATAAAAGTGTGGTTCAAGCCAGACCATCTATGATGGTTAATACTTGTAATCTCAGATACTTAGGAGGTAGAAAGCCATAACACAGCAGTTTAAAGCCAGCCCCAGATAAAATATGTTTGAGAGCTCATTTCAACCAATAAAAGCTGGGAATGTTGGCACATAATTGTTATCCCAGCTATGTAGGAAGTATAAATAGGAGGATTGTGGTCCAGGCTAGGCCAGGCATAACTGCCAAACCCTATTCAAAAATAAATGAAGCAGTGGTGCTGTGCTTAAGTGATAGAGCCTAGCCTTTAGCAAAAGGAGCCCAGGGACAGCACCCAGGTCCTGAGTTCAAGTCCCATGGCCAACAACAACCAAAGTGAAATTTGGGGCTGGGAATGTGGCTTAGTGGTAGAGTGCTTACACAGAATGCCTAAAGCCCTGGGTTCCATTCCTCAGTACACATAAAAGGCCAGAAGTGGTGCTGTGGCTCAAGTGGTACAGGGCTACCCTTGAGCAAAAGAAGCTCAGGGACAGTGCCCAGGTCCTGAGTTCAAGCCCCAGGACTGGTACAAAAAAAATGGGACTAGGAAATGTGGCTTAGTTGTAGAGTCCTTGCCTAGCATGTATGAGGACCTAGGTTCAATTCCTCAGTACCACATACATAGAAAAAGCTGGAAGTGGTGCTGTGGCTCAAGTGGTAGAGTGCTAGGCTTGTGCAAAAGCTCAGGGACAGTGCCAAGGCCCTAAGTTCAAGCCCCAGGACTGGCAAAAAAAAAAAAAGAAAAAATACTAGAGGGCTGGGAAGGTGAATCAGTGGCAGAGTGCTTGCCTTGCATGCATGAGGCCCTAGGTTCAATTCCTCAGCACCCATAAGCAGAAAAAAGCCACAAGTGGTACCATGGCTCAAGTGGTAGAGTGCTAGCCTTCAGCTGAAGAGCTGAGGGACAGCCCCCAGGCCCAGAGTTCAGGCCCAACGACCAACAAAAAAGATTGGATGTATGGCTCAAGTGGTAAAGCGCTTTGTTAGCAAGTGCAAGGCCCTGAGTTCAAACCCCAGTACCCCCCCCCCCCACACACAAATTAAGATATGATTGATATTTAGGGCACAGATGTGGCCGCAGATATTTATAAAAAGACAAAATGGTAAGATTCTGGTGGATATAAAGTTGTAAGGAAGGAAATCAAGAAGAAAAACCCTAGATTCCAAGCTTTTTTTTTTTTTTTTTGGTCAGTCATGGGTCTTGAACTCTGGGCCTGAGCACTGTCCCTCAGCTCTCCACTCAAGGCTAGAGCTCTACCACTTGAGCTACAGCACCACTTCCGGTTTTCTGGTGGTTTATTGGAGATAAGAGTTTCACGGACTTCTCTGCTCTTTTCTAGCTCTTTCTCAGCTCTTTCCTTCTCTTTCCCAGCTCTCTTCTCTTAACTAGCTCTCTCTTTCCCACCTTTCCCAGACGCTCTCTCTCTGTTCTTTTCTAGCTCTTTTCTCTTTCCTCTCCCTTTCCCAGCCACGTGGAGTGCCAACCTTGCCTGGGCCCAGCAAGTTTCACGGACTTTCCTGCCCGAGCCGGCTTTGAACCTTGATTCTCAGATCTCAGCCTCCTGAGTAGCTAGGATTACAGGCATAGCCACCAGCACCGGGCAAGATTCCAAGCTTTGTAAATGAGTAAGGACATGTAACCTGGGAATGGACCTAGAGCTATAATATAGTTTGCATCAGATAAAATATGTTGCAGTGCTTTCAGAGTTATCCAAGTAGTGATCTTTATTAGGAATTTCAACTCAGGAGAGCTTTTGAACTAAAGATACTGACTCAAAGGGGGTTGAGCAACTGAAGATGAAGTTGAGTAAATGAATAGAACTTAAAGCCAACAGGCATAATCCTATCAACCATAGAAGGAGCAAAGAAAGGCACAGAACTCAGTGAGGTGACTGGGAAGGTACAGTTGTACAAGTAGTAAATCAAGGTATAGAGAATGTCAGGATGAAACCATGAGCAAATGTCAAATGCTCTAGAGGTCAAATAAGGTGAGAAATGAAAAGTGCTTCCAGACTTTGCCAATTTGGAAGCCCCTGTTAAGGTGCCAGAAGAGATTTGGCTGGCAGGAACATAACACACATGAGTTGAATGAAGGGTAGGAATGTAGAGTAGGAAGGGAGAGAGAGGGACAGACAAGAGATGGAAAGAATTCTGATGCTAAGTATAATTTGTTATTTCTACTGGGGGGGGGGGGAGGGAGGGTTTCTTGGCTGTGCATTGGAGTTGGTAAAGAGGTTTACTGAGGGCTGCTATACTGGGAGGGTTTTTTTTTCTTCTTGGCTAGGAAACAGGAAAAGGTAAGTTAAAAATTTCAAAGGTTGCAGAGTGGAGGATTGCCTCAGGTAACAGAGGTGACTAGGTCAGAAGTAAAGACATTTCCTTAAACTAAGATGACCAGCTAATGAATTGGGAGAGGACTACAAATGTGGCCCCATTTACAGGTGGGGGGGGGATTCCATTTCTAACTTGGTTTTTTTTTTGGGGGGGGGTCGATTGTGAGGCTTGAACTCTGGGCTTGGGTGCTGTCCCTACAGCTCAAGGCAAGCGTTCTACCGCTTGAGCCACAGCGCCACTTCCGATTTTTAGTGGTTTATTGGAAGTTAGAGTCTCACAGACTTTCCTGTCTGGGCTGGCTTTGAACTGTGATCCTCAGATCTCAGCCTCCTGAATAACTAGGATTACAGGCGTGAGCCACCAGCGCCGGGCACGCCCGACTCTTTGTTCAAAGAACTATTGCTTGTCAGTGAGAAGAGATTAGAAGATTTGAAGTGGAAATGTGCACCAGAATTGCAGGTTTGAAGGGAGAACGTACTAGGGACAAAGTGCTGCTTTGGTAGCAACTGAACCATTCTATTTAAATTACCAATCCCTACATTTTTTGTGTGAACACGTAAACTACTACTATTTGAGTATATATTGTTCAACGCTGTCTTAACCAGTTCCAAAAGGATAATGTGGACATAAAAAGACAGAGTACCGTGTTCTTGTCGCCAATGGGAAATGTATGTCAATCCCTACATTTTCAGGGAATGAATTCCAAGATCCAGAGGGGCAGAGTGTAAAATGTTGAGAGTATGAAGTTTTCTTTGCTCTGTTTACTGTTGAGCTGGGGTCTAGCTTTCTGATGGCTCAGCCAGTACCCCGATGCTTCTATTCATGTTACTCAATCTAGTTGGGCTGGGGTGGGAGCTGGTTTCTTACCAACCAAGCATCTGCAGGCCTCAAATGGCGATCATATACGGAAGTGTAGCTGGTAAACTTTGCAGCATACACACACACACAGTAAGGGAACTTGCAAGACTCGATCAGGTCTAGGGCATGTTAGGAGACTTAGGTTACAGAATTGGCTGAGACTGAAGGAGTTTCCACCCACAGTGCGCGCCGGCCGAGGCGGGCGCTACCGGGGCGCCCACACAGCTTCCGGAGGCCGAACCACACCACGCCGAGGGGCGGCCCCACCCTGCACACCCTCGCCTCTCCAGCCAGGACCCGTCCTCCTTTTGTGACGACAGCCCAACGCAGTGCAGACCCAAGGGACTCTGGCCCGGAGGTTCGAAGCCGCAGTCCCCGCACGACACCCGGAAGAGATGACTCCCGGAGCCGCAGCCGCGCCGCGGAGCCCGAGCGGCGGCGCTGGGCCGCAGGCGAGCGGCCTGCGCGCGCCGCTTCCGCCCCACCCACTGCGCGCACTCGGAACTCCGCCGCGGGACCAGCGGTTGGGCTCCGACGCCTGCGCACTGTCCCTCCCCTCCCCCCTCTCCCGCACCCCACCTCGCGGCCTCCTGCACTCCTCTCCCCTCCCCCAATCCGGTTGCACCCTCGCGCCTGCGCAGTGCACGTTTCGGGGCGGCGGCAGCCATGCTGAACCCGTACCGAGAGGCGAGTGGGGGGGACAAGGTCGACGACGGCGGGCCGGGGAGCTGGAGATATGGAGGAGTAGCAGCATTAGCGCGCTCTGGATCTCGGGATTTAGGCCTGGGCCATACGGCCTCCTTGGTCTCTCAAAAGACCCCCAGGAACGTTCGGAAAACTGGCCCTCAGGGTGGGGGGGGGGTGTAGGTGGTGGCGGGCACGTGACCCGGGTCAGCCAATCTGGGCGCTGCTGACGTGGCCGCGCGGCCCCGATGCTCTCCCCACCCCCCAGCCGGGTCGGGAAGGGAGGGGCTGGGGGCTACACCCCCTCCCCCAATACTGCTTCAGTTTCCGGGGGGGTTGACACCCCGATTACATCCTCCCCCCGCACCAAAGCGAGGGCATCATTGAAGCCCCCCATGGTTCCAAGGATCCAGGTGAGAAGGGGCTCTTGGGGCGGCGATGTCACTTAAATGCGTATTGGGTGGGAAGTGGGGGGATTCTGGGGGTTCAGGAGATGGTCCTAAGGGGACTTGTCCTTCAAACACTATATAGCCAATAGGAATGTGGAGGGCCTCCAGCAGGTGAGAGATTCTTAGATGGGGGAGGGGAATGGCCAACCTCTGGTCTCCGTACCAATTGGAGGGCAAAGGGGCGTGGGGCGGTGTGTACCCCCCTTGCATTCATCCCCTGGGGTACGGGAGTCTGGAATCAGGTGAGATGGGAACCTTGTAGGCCGCGGGAAGGGTGACCTAGTAAGCTGAGTGGGAGTGATGGCTGCGGTTCCTGCTCATGGATGTGAATGCTTTTAAACTTGGCAGTCCAGATTGTGAATTGAGATGTTCCCAGGCCCCAACTCCCTTTCTCCCCCAGAGACTCTGGAAGGCGCCCTTCTGTACTCTCTTTGTGTCAAGGGTGGGAAGCTCACAGCCATCACATGGCATGCTGGAGGTTACGCATCGAGTCTCTTGCTGAATTTGTGTGCGTTCACGTGGACACGGCCTGTGGGGCCTTCTGCACAAATCCCTGTTGCCCCCCTCTAGGGTCTTAGCTGAGGACTTGTCTGATCCCGGCTGGGAAGGGTTTACAGGATGAAAGCTTGGGGTCCTTTTAGACTCAGAAAGCAGGCCCAAGGTGGGTGCTGGGAGGGAGGCTCAGGACCTGGAATGATTTCAACGCTTCCAAGGTTTCGAGTTTCTCCGGGGTGGCCTCTTCCACAGCGTTCTCCCCTCCCCCCCACCTCCACCCCCCCCCCCCATCCTGAACAGTTCTCTCCTTGTGTACTGCGGGGGAGGGAACGGAAAGGAGGGAAGAGTTACTTTTCCAAATTACTGAGTAGCTGTAGACTCCCCTGTGACTCATGTGGGGGGAGGGAGGATTGGGGAGCAGTGATTTTCCAGAATGCAAGGGATTGAGAGTACTGTCTGGCTGCCCTTTCCCAGTATTTTCTCAAGTTGCTGTTTCTCCTCCTCTTCCTCTTGCCAGGCCCCCCGATGGGCCTCTCCTGACCCGCGAAGCCCGAGTGGGGAGATGAGATTTGGGAGGCTGGGCCACTAGGGGGAGGGGAGCAGGCCTCAGCAAAGTTGCTGTGTCATCTTGCTGCCGCAGCTACCCTGGCGAGGCTGCACGTAGTTTTGGGGGGCCGGGGCCTGATCCTTGGCGGAGGGCCGGGGTCTTTGCCTTCCTTTGGTGCATTTCCCCCGCCGGGTTTGCCCTCGGGTTGGGTACTCCAGAAGACAGGAGGTTGGCCGCCATGTTAGATGCAGTCATCAAGGTTCGAACTCAAGGGCTTATTGAGGGTGGTGGCCTGCTTGCAGCATCCAGATCTAGGCCCCTTTAGAAGCCCGACGTGGGTGGGTGGGTGGGGGCGCTTTTCTTTTAGTGGCCCACCTACATTTCTTTGCACATATCTGTCCTAAACTTGTTTTCTTCCTCTAAGTCGGGCCAGAGTAAATAAGCAGAGGCTTAGCTCTGGTCTTCTCGGTAGGTGAAAGTCCTTTTACTTTCCCTCAAAGGGCGGGGGGGGGGGGGCGCCCCGGGGGGCGGGGGTCTGAAGAGATCCCGATTTTCAGCTGAGCTTCTTTATCCCTTCCAAGTCTGTTTGCCTACTCAGATAATCAAATTCGGAGGATTTAAGACAGCGAGCTTGGGGGGAGGGGGCGAAACTGAGCTCCCAAAATGGCTCCTGCCCCTCCTCGGAGGCGGACGGCCCGGGGGGGAGGGGAGGAGGGGAGAGGAGGGGGAGGGCTAGTCGGAGCCGCAGCCGCCGCCTCCTCTGCTCGCCCTCCTCCCTGGCGCTGACCGATGGACGAGCCGCTCCGTGGGGAGGACTCCGGACCCTGGTGGGGGGATGGGGGCGTCCTCCTGCCCCCGCGGCGGTGGGGGACCCCCGAGAGGGAATTGCAGCTGCCGGGTAGGGGGGCAGGGAGCATGGAGGAAGGTCTGAGCTCCGCGAGGGAGGAGGGTTTCCTCTGGCTCGCTTCTTGCAGGACTTTTCCCCTCCTCGAGCCGCTCGCCGGGATCAAGTTTGCAGAGGAGGTGCGTGCTACAGGGTACAGGGGTCGCCGGGAGACCGCGCCCACGTTAGGACTGCTTTGTCGAGCAGGCAGGCGCTGGTGTCGGTGGCCAAGGCTCGAGTTAGCAAATCAGGAGAGGTGTCGGGGCGCTCGAGGTTTGAGGTGTAGGTTTGGGGGCCTTGCTGATAATGGTAGCTGCTCCGCCTTCGGGAGCTCACGGGTTATTGGAGCAGTCTTGTTTTACCTTTGTCTCTGTGTGGTTTGGCTTTGGAGAGTGAGGAGAGGAATTTTGAGACTGGCCAGCGGTGTTAGGTGATGGTGGACCTTCGGGAGTGTTAGGTCCCTTAGCCTGATTCAGGACTTGCTGGCTAGTCGCTACACAAGACAAGGCCGAGGCTTCTAAGATGGCGTCTTTCTTCCTCGTTTCAGGTTCTCCACTGCAGAGGCCTTAACCGCCGAAGAACTGCCCGCCCGACGTCCTGCGGCCACACCCCTGGCGGGCCGCTGGCCACGCCCGCGCGACCCCTCCCGTCTCCCTGCGGCCTGGCCAATGGAGGAGCCACGAATGGCACGACCTGCCCCGGGTTGGCAGGCTCCGGTTGCACCGTGCCTGAGAGTGCTTCCTTGGAAGGGGAGGCGGGGAGAAGGTGCTGGAGGCTCTGGGGAGATGGCTTTTGCACCTTTTCCAGCCTCTTGCCCAGGAATCTCCGAACTACAGCACAGCCAGTTGGCTCAGAAATATGGCGGGCTGCCCCTGCCCTCTGGGCCTATGCGGCACTCTTCTGCCCGGTGACTGACGCCTTGGAAATGAAGTTTATGACGTCATCGCTCCGCTCGGCCAATAGAAACAGCTCCCGCGGAGAGGCGTTCCTCCCCCTTCGCCTCCGCTGCTTCGAGCGCGTGAGCGCGCGGGCGCGCGCGGTGGGGGTGGGGGAAGTCTGGAGCTGGGTGGCGCGCATGAGCGGAGAAGCTCCTCCCCCCCGCCTATATATAAAGGACTGGCGCGGGGCTCGGCGGCGCCATTTCGCGCTGGAGTGGAGCGGCCTCTAGAACGGGCTGGAGGATTCTGCCTACTGATACAGAGCCTTCGAGTCGTCGGGGCCACCATTACAATCCGCGTCCATCCGCTTGGAAATGGCCTTCGTCTCGGCATATGACCGGTCCCGGCGGACAGTACAGACCCCATAGAAGTCCCCGAAGGTCCCCTTTTTTCGGGCCCCGCCCAGTTCTCGGAGTCTGTCCACCCCCTGTACTCCGCCCTCAAGAGGATTTCAAAGATGGAGGCGGCGGCTCCCTAAACCACTTTTCGTGTTCATCCGCCTCCATCCGAGGTTGAAACGGGACCCCGTCTGCTCCGGCGGGCCTGACAGGAAGAGGGGCCTCCAGCGCATCCACCGCCGGCTGTATTGACGACGGCGTCTGGGACCAGGGACTGTCTGGGTTGGTAGAGTACGGTCCCCCCGGCTCGTCCGTCTCCGCCGGAGCCGCCGCCATTTTCTTGTGTCCACCGCCTGCGGAGCGCGCCAAGCTGCCGGGAGTTCTCCGAGAGGTCGCGGACGAGACTTCGGTGCCGGCCCGGCGTGGGGGTTGCCGCCTGGAGGGCCGAGGGCAACGGCCTTCCCCCCACTTCCCGGGTTATGCTGGGCCGGGCGGTGAGGGGAACCGAGGCCAACCGGACTGTACGCGGCTGAGTGCGGCGCCTGCCCCCCGGGGTCAAGATGTTGCAGAACGTGACTCCCCACAAGTACGTCTCCGCCGGCCGCGTACGGGCAGGGGCGTGGGGGGCGGCGGCACGGAGGTGGGGGCTCCGGGCTCGGGGGAGAGGGAGGTGACCCGGGCGCGTTGCTATTTCGCGCCGCAGCTGTTGACTTGGGCTCGCGCAGGGGGTTGAGCGACGGTTTTGGAACGGTGCTGGCGGCGGCCCAGTTACTGTGTATGGGGGGCACTGCAGGTTGTCAGCTCGTTATACACTGCCGCCGCGGCCCAGACGTAACCCGACTCGGGAAGAGCTAGTTTGACGGTGGGAAGCACAGGGGGTGGGCAGGCGGGTCTTAAGGAATGGGGTTGGTGTCTGGTCCCGATTTGTCACAGTGTTTGGGGAGGGGGTACGTGGTCACCTCCCGCGCCGTTTGGGGTTGCCATGGTGACAGCTTCAGGGATTGACAGCAGGGATTCCCAGACTAGGGTAGAAGGATCACTTTCTCGGCTTATGGGTTCGTTGTGTCTGGAGTATGTCATTAAATTTCGGCTGTCTTTTCAGTGACTGGATTGATTGGGAGAATATTTGTTAAGTCAGGGTGTTTTTTGTTACCATTGAGAGTTCATTCAAGGCAGGAGGGTGGAGCTAAGATTCAGTTCAGCTCTGCGGATGTAAACAATGAGATCTTGGTGTAGAGTCTTGAATCTTAGGTGGTGGGAAACACCTGGTAAGAAGTACCTAAGACTATAAACTGTTGGCCTTTGGTCTTCAGAAGATTTTTCGCTGAGGACTGTTAGCTGTACCCGGGATGTTGGGGAGAAATTTGGTTCTTCTCAAATTTTCTTTGGAAGCAAAAGACTAGGTTTGGTGCAAGTGATTTTGTCTGGATTTTAAAATTTGGTCCGGTATCGGTTAGATGATTAGTTCCTGACCCATTCCGGTGTAATTGTTTGATACTGTTTTACCCAGATGGATTCAGGTGTCTCCACGGCTTTTATTTATTTTTTTAAGTTTCTCTCGTTTGTTCCCCCTCCCTTCCCCTCTGGCTCAACCACCATGGCAACAGCCAAACCCCTAGTGAGGAGGAAGCTTGACTTTCTCAGCTCCACCCATTTTGCTTAAGAATTGTCCCTGTAGAGCTGTAGTTCTTGTGTTGTGCCAATTTAGAGCTTTTCATTTTTTTTAACTCATTAGCACTCATCAGAGTATGTAGTACCCAGAATGGAATGGGCATCTAGAAATGCTTTGCAAATTATTTGGGTATAGTTTTAGCTATGAAGTACTTGCATAAACTTAAGTCACTTCATTAGATCTAAAGCCTGATTTATTGAGTGCAAAGTACAAGTAATATTTACTTAATTTTGTTTCTCATATTTACAGGCTCCCTGGGGAAGGGAATGCAGGGTTACTGGGATTGGGCCCAGAGGCAGCTGCACCGGGGAAAAGGATTCGAAAGCCTTCTCTGTTGTATGAGGGATTTGAGAGCCCTACAATGGCTTCAGTGCCAGCTTTGCAACTGACCCCTGCCAATCCACCACCCCCTGAGGTGTCGAATCCCAAGAAACCAGGACGGGTAACCAACCAGCTGCAATACCTACACAAGGTGGTGATGAAGGCTCTGTGGAAACATCAGTTTGCCTGGCCATTCCGGCAGCCTGTAGATGCTGTTAAACTGGGTTTGCCGGTGAGTAGGAACATTGGACTGGGGGGGGGGGGGGGGGGAGGTATGGGAATGAGCAAGAATGTGTGTGAGTGAGATTGGGTTACCCTAGTATAAGTGCTGCGGCCCCTAGGGAGTACCCATTCTATAGGACAGATAGCCACCAGAGTTCTGGATTTTTGGTCCTTTGTGATTGTTCCAAAAGCTTGTGATCTCTATTTTGGCATCTCTCGTGCCCTCCACATGTCCTTCCTTAACTTTTGTGCCCTGGCTCCATTTTACAGATTCCCACCCCGGGTTGGGAGAGGACCACGGTGGCCAAAATTCTTAGCTTCTTCCTTTCCCTCATGCAGCCTATGGATAGCCAACCCCAGAGGTAATGTCACAGGATGGGAAGTTTTTAGAGTGGGTGGGAGGTGGGTGGTTAGGGAAAAGCAGTAGGGATCTCCTAGTGGGTGTTAAGGATCCCATTCCATTTTTCTCTATTCTGTAGTTTAATTGGGGCCGCAGTATAAGGAACTTAACATTCATTTGGTGCTTAGAGTGTGTGTGCTGTATGTGTGTTGGGTTAATTTGTTTTCCTAGGAGTAATTTTCCATGGCTCTGATCTAAGATTTCTTTCTTTAGGATTACCACAAAATTATAAAACAGCCTATGGACATGGGTACAATTAAAAGAAGACTTGAAAACAACTACTATTGGGCTGCCTCAGAATGTATGCAGGATTTCAATACCATGTTCACAAACTGTTACATTTACAACAAGGTGAGTGATTTCCTACATTACTAGATGGTGACATTGTACTTACTGCTGCTAACTGTTGGGATTACAGTTTTTTTAACCATTGAAGTTTTTTTGTCAGATTAAATGTAAACCAGGTGTAAAAAGTGTAAAAGTTGTTTTTTAAGTAGAATACTTCATATTTGAGGGTGATGTCCCCATTCCTCTGAAAGCTCCAAGAGACCTGAATAAAGCAGGATATTTTTCCTCGTTAGCTGTCATTCTCTTTAAATTTGTGAACATTAAGGTGGAATGAACTTCTTTGTATTTGAGATAATTGGGAAGAAAGCAAGTTGTGGTCTAGTCCAGTGAGGTGATTTTTATTTTTTTGCCCTAGGTAGAATGATGTCTTAAGGGAAAGGAGTTAGTTGATGCCTGCTGGGTTGATTTCATCTTATGCTAATCCATTCTCAGCTGGCATTTGAACCTTCTAATTGTGCTTGTGTTCTTGTAGCCCACAGATGATATTGTCTTGATGGCACAAACACTGGAAAAGATTTTCCTGCAGAAAGTTGCCTCCATGCCACAAGAGGAGCAAGAACTTGTGGTGACCATCCCTAAGAACAGCCATAAGAAGGGGGCCAAATTGGCAGGTAGGAAAAACCAGGGGTCTTCAAATGGAGATGTAAGGTAAGAAAGACTGTCAAACTAAACTTTTTTTCCCCCTTTTCCAGCACTCCAGGGCAGTATTACCAGTGCCCATCAGGTGCCTGCTGTCTCTTCTGTGTCACATACAGCCCTGTATACACCACCACCTGAGATACCTACCACCGTCCTCAACATTCCCCACCCATCGGTCATCTCTTCCCCCTTGCTGAAGTCCCTGCATTCTGCTGGACCCCCTCTCCTTGCTGTCTCTACAGCTCCCCCTGCTCAACCTCTTGCAAAGGTATCAGTAGATATGTTTTGTTAGGGCAGTGGGAAGAGATTTTGAATAAAATGAACCTGGATTAATACATTCCCATCTTATTCTCTACAGAAAAAAGGAGTTAAGCGGAAAGCAGATACTACTACACCTACACCTACAGCCATCCTGGCTCCTGGTTCCCCAGCTAGCCCTCCTGGGAGTCTTGAGCCAAAGGCTGCACGGCTTCCCCCTGTGCGCAGAGAAAGTGGCCGCCCCATCAAGCCCCCACGAAAAGACTTGCCTGACTCTCAACAGCAACACCAGAGCTCTAAGAAAGGAAAATTATCAGAACAGTTAAAACATTGCAATGGCATTTTGAAGGAGTTACTCTCCAAGAAGCATGCTGCCTATGCCTGGCCTTTCTATAAACCAGTGGACGCTTCTGCTCTTGGCCTGCATGACTACCATGACATCATTAAGCACCCCATGGACCTCAGCACTGTCAAGGTACCCACTGCATGGGGCAGATGGGATGCTCAGGCAGTGATTGGAGCCTAGGGATCAATAAAATATTTGTGTCTCCTGAGGGGCACATAGTCTTTCGTTCTTGTTTTTTTGCTTTGATAGAATTGTAATAGGGCAGAAGGTCAAGTACTTTGAGATCCATATTTCCTACAAATAAGAATGGATTTTCTTCCGAGCTACACTGTAGTACTGCTTCTTTAGGAGTATTGGGTTAGAGAAGCAAAGAGTAATCCAGAAGCCACTCCCCTATCACTTAGAATGATTTTCTAGATATAATACTTCAGCCTACTGAATTTCTCTTGACTTCAAATTTGAACCCCAGGGCACAGATGATTAAGGTCTTCCCCACTGTTCTCTCAAGAGAGGGCTCCTTGTGGTTTCTGGGTTGGCAGGGAAAGGTGAGTCTCTCTGCCTGTGCAGCTTCTGATGCTGCCTCCTTCTGCAGCGGAAGATGGAGAATCGAGACTACCGGGATGCACAGGAATTTGCTGCTGATGTGCGGCTTATGTTCTCCAACTGCTACAAGTACAACCCTCCTGACCACGATGTTGTGGCTATGGCTCGAAAGCTACAGGTGAGTGTGAAAGTTGAAGTTTAAACAAGTGTATGTAGGGAGAAAATTTGTCAACTGTGCTGTAAATTCTCAACATAGAATCCATTCTTTAGTAAACTGGAACTATAATGCTGGGGGCATGTGTATAAATGATCAGGGCACTCTTTCCCTCATGGTTTTAAGTCTACCTATTTTTCTAGGATGTGTTTGAGTTCCGTTATGCCAAGATGCCAGATGAACCACTGGAACCAGGGCCTTTACCAGTCTCTACTGCCTTGCCTCCTGGGCTGGCCAAATCATCATCTGAATCTTCCAGTGAGGAAAGTAGCAGTGAGAGCTCCTCTGAGGAAGAGGAGGAAGATGATGAGGAAGATGAAGAGGAGGAGGAAAGTGAAAGCTCAGACTCAGAGGAAGAAAGAGCCCATCGCTTGGCAGAATTACAGGAGCAGGTATTTTGTTACTTTCCCATCTTTATTGGATAAGAGATTTATGCTCTGTCTTGGACTTGATTTTTTTGTTTGTCTGGTTGGGCTTTGGGGCATAGGGGGGCTGGGCCTGGGCACTGTCCCCGAGTTCCTTTTGCAAAAGGGCTTCTACCACTTAAGCCACAGTGCCACTTTCCAATTTTTCTATGAGAGAGAAGAGTTTCACAGACATTTCCTGTCTGGGCTAGTTTGAACCACGATTCTCAGATGGCAGCCTCCTTAGTAGCTATGATTACAGGCATGAGCCACTAGCATCTGGCTTTCTTTTGGTCTCTACTCACATCTATAATTTTTTATTTTTTCCTCTAGCTCCGGGCAGTACATGAACAACTGGCTGCCCTATCCCAGGGCCCAATATCTAAGCCCAAACGAAAGAGAGAGAAAAAGGAGAAAAAGAAAAAACGGAAATCAGAAAAGCATCGGGGCAGAACTGGGATTGATGAAGATGACAAGGGGCCTCGTGCACCCCGCCCACCCCAGCCCAAGAAATCCAAGAAAGCAAGTGGCAGTGGGGGTGGCAGCACTGCTACAATAGGCCCTCCTGGCTTTGGATCTTCTGGAGGAAGTAGCAACAAGTGAGTTCTGCTACAGTAGAAAACATGTAGCTTTGTCTAGAAGTACCTTCTTCCCACTTAGTGTAACAAATACTGTAAAATGTGTAGGAAACATATTGGGAGCCTCAGGGTCTCTAAGAGAAAACTCTGTAAAAGCAGCTGTAGGTATTCTGTAGACAATATAGATAACTCCAATAAAACTTGGAAAAAGTAGCTGATGGTTTTGCCCTAATTTCAGCCCTTTTTTTTCAGGCCTGGCCACTATCCCTGAGCCTCTTTGTGCTCAAGGTTAGTGTTACACCACTTCAGCTACAGCCCTACTTCTGAGTACTTTATTGATAGTTTCAGACTTCGTGCCTAGATTGGCTTCAATCCACAGTTCTTAGATCTCAGCCCCCTGAGTAGCTAAGATTACAGGCATGAGCCACCAGCACCTGACTAGGTCTACTGTTTTTGTTTTTGTTTTTTGTTGGTCGTGGGGCTTGAACTCCGCCTGGGCACTGTCCCTCAGCTTTTCAGCTCAAGGCGAGCACTCTACCACTTGAGCTACAGCGCCGCTTCCGGTTTTCTGGTGGTTTATTGGAGATAGGAGTCTCACGGTCTTTCCTGCCTGGGCTGGCTTTGAATTGCGATCCTCAGATCTCAGCCTCCTGAGTAGCTAGGATTACAGGCGTGAGCCACCAGCGCCTGGCTTGTTTTTTTGCCAGTCCTGGTCTTGAATTCAGGCCTGGTCACTGTCTCTGAGCTGCTTTTCCTCAAGGCTTAACACTACCACTTGAGCCACAGAGCCACTTCCAGCCTTTTCTGTTTATGTGATACTGAGGAATCAAATGCAGGGCTTTATGCATACTATGCAAACACTCTACTACTAAGCCACATTCCCAGCCCTCAGCCATTTTTCTTAATGCAGAAACAGAAGCTCTGCAGGCAGAAATGAAAGATTACTAGGTTGAACTATAGGAATGTACTGGGAGTTATTGATATGCTTCTGTTAACAATTTTTCCATCATAGGCTACCCAAAAAGGCCACAAAGACAGCCCCACCTGCCCTTCCTGCTGGTTATGACTCAGAGGAGGAGGAAGAAAGCAGGCCTATGAGTTACGATGAGAAGCGACAATTGAGCCTGGATATCAATAAACTACCTGGGGAGAAGCTGGGTCGAGTTGTACATATAATCCAAGCCAGAGAGCCTTCTTTACGTGACTCAAACCCAGAAGAAATTGAGATTGACTTTGAAACACTCAAGCCATCCACACTCAGGGAGCTTGAGCGCTACGTTCTTTCCTGCCTACGAAAGAAGCCCCGGAAGCCCTACAGTGAGTATCAAATGAGATCGACCAGCTGATAATCTAACAATCCTTATGCAGTTCCTGGGGACCCTTTAGGTAAGGACAGTGGGATGATTGTCCCCAGGATTCATTAGAGAATGGAAATTAAGTATTACTAGTTAAAAACAGGAATACACTGGGAGACGTGTGTGTGTGTGCGCGCGTGTGCGCGTGTGCGTGTGTGCATGCCCGTGCGCATGCGTGCGCGCGCATGCACGCACGGGTCCATCCGTCCGTCTTGCTGTCTTGGTTATGGGGCTTGAACTGGGGCACTGTACCTGAGCTCTTTAGCTCAAGGCAAGCACTCTGCTACTTGAGCCACAGCACCACTGGCAGCTTTTTCTGTTTATGTGGTACTGAGAAATTGAACCCAGGGCTTCATGCATATGACACAAGCACTCTACCACTAAGCCATTCCCAGCCTCATTGGTGGTTTTTTGTAAGGCAGCAACTTAAAATAGTCTATTGCTTTTTCCCTTAGCCATTAAGAAACCTGTTGGAAAGACAAAAGAAGAACTTGCTTTGGAAAAGAAACGAGAACTAGAAAAACGATTACAAGATGTCAGCGGACAACTCAATTCCACAAAAAAGCCCCCCAAGAAAGGTGGGTATCCTTTATGTTGCTGCAATCCCTATCCTCCCATCCCTTTTATTGGTACTGGGAGTTGAATGTAAGGCCTCTCACTTTTCTAGATCAATGTTTTACCGTTTGAGTTCTATCTCCTTCCCCTCTCCCTTTTTATTTGTTTTGATAAGTGAAGATCTAGACTTCCTTATTCAATTTTGTTTTACAGTGAGTGAGAAAACAGAGTCATCTTCTGCACAGCAAGTAGCAGTGTCACGGCTCAGTGCTTCCAGTTCCAGCTCAGATTCCAGCTCCTCCTCTTCATCTTCCTCTTCTTCAGACACCAGTGATTCAGACTCAGGCTAAGAGGCTATGCCAAGAGGGGCAGGAAGGCTCCGCAGGACGGGACCCCCATATCACCCTGCCCCACCTCTCCCCCCCTTGCTGTGATGCTTCTTCATCTTACCCTCTCTACCCCCTCTGAAGGAGAGCTGGCTCTGCGGCAGGGGAGGGATGCGGGGACATTTGCTGAAGTAAGGACTTGGACAAATTTGAATTCCCACCCCCATTGGGAATGACCTCTTCGGCACAGATCCCCTGTTCGGAATGATGGGGTGGAGCAGGGGGTACTGGGTGAGAGTAGGCAAAGGCCCTGATACAAGGTTACTGGAGGCCCTAGATGCCCTGTTCACTTAAGGGTCCTGTTTTGAGGTTGTTTGTTCTAATTTATTTAAGCTATAGGGGGGATAGGGCCAAAGTCCCCTCAAGCTTCCACGGGGAGGGAAGAAGGGGGAGCTCTTTTTTTACGTTGACTTTTTTTTTCTACTGTTTTCCCTTTTTCCTTCCACTCCATTTGGGACCCTGGGGATTTCAGTCATCTCCCCATTTGGTCCCACAGATTGTCTTTCTTTGTCTCTTGATTCTAACTTGTAAATAAAGAAAATATTATTCAAGTTTTGAGTTAGTTATCTTGGTGCCATCTGTTCCTGTGATACTAAGACACAGTAGAAAGTACCTTGAGGGCTGGGAAGGTGGCTCAGTGGTAGAGCACTTGCCTTGAGCTAAAGAGCTGAGGGACAGTGCTCAGACCCAGAGTTCAGGCCCCACGACCGGACCACAAAAAAATAAAAAAAAGTACCTTGAATTTTGACATGGGGGGAAGGATTGCACTGATAGGAGATTGATCCCAGGTTTTATATGCCAGTACTCCATCCCACTGTATTCACTGAGCTATAATAGAGCCATGAGAGGTTAATTTCTTTTAAATTAGTAGGCTGTTGTTTATAATTGTAAACACTTAGTCTTTGGTGGAGGTGGGGGGACTTGGAGGTCATATTCTTTCAGATAAGCACTCTACCACTTACTTAAGCCATGCATTCATTCAGCCCCAAGGTCCTTTGTAAAATGTGTCTGAAATGACCTTAAAAGTGATTTGCGGGGCTGGGAAGGTGGCTCAGTGGTAGAGTGCTTGCCTTGCATGCATGAGGCCCTGGGTTCCATTCCTCAGCACCACATAAGCACAAAAAGCTGGAAGTGGTGCTGTGGCTCAAGAGGTAGAGCACTAGCCTTGAGCTGAAGAGCTGAGGGACAGCGCCCAGGCCCAGAGTTCAGGCACCATGACTGGCAAAAAAAAAAAAAGTGATTTGCTGTAGTTTAGAGGAAGGGAGAAAACAAGCCTCTGGTTAGTCCCTGACTTCAGAGTTTCAGTCTTGGAGATGGACTATAAAGTTTTTCCCCTGACTTGTGAATTTGTCTCCCGAATACAGTCCACAGCTGGTTCTTGAATTGGTTTGTGGCCTTAGAAAGACAGTTGGATTCACTTTGTTAACATTTTGCTAACTTGGCATCTTTGCTAATTTATCTCAGCTGTTACCACAGCCACCCCTTACCTCACCTAGAGAAAGTATTTTATGTAGGAAAAAATATATTAATCTTGTAGAACATATTTATATTTTCATGGGGCTTGCTGTCAGGGCTTAGGTACTGTCACTGCGCTTTTTTGCCCAAGGCTAGTTAGTGCTCTACCACAGCTCCACTTCCAGTTTTTAGGTGATTAATTGGAGATGAGTCTACAAAGATCTCAGCCTTCTGGGTAGCTAGCATTACAAGCATGGCCACCAGCACTCAGCTAGAACCTATTTTATATAGCAAGTGGGACTTAGGAGATCTGGAATTTGCAACTTTAATAGTGCAAAGTGAGATGTTGCCATAATAGTAACAATGGTCTCCATGGCCATTCCACCTTCCTATCTTAAGGAATTGAGTCCTGAACAACAATTTACAATAGCCTGAGATGGTTAAGCATCACTGGGCATTAGAGCCACCTTGCTACTATGTTTTACAGCCCTTATGGATCTTAAATAGGCTTAGGAATGCCAAGCAGAGTTTTGGAGAAAGGGGTAGTAGTAGTATCTTTTTTCTCCAGTTGTGGGTCTTGAACTCGGCCTGGGCGCTGTTCCTGAGCTGCTTTTGAAGCTCAAGGCTAGCATTCTACCACTTGCGCCTCAGCACTGGGTCACTGCCACTTGCGGCTTTTTCTGTTTAAGTAGTATTGAGGAATCAAACCCAGGGCAAGCACTAAACACATTCCCAGCCTAGAAATACTATCTTGTCAGTAGCTAGACCCTCTGCTCATCTTTTAAGATACCTGTAGTTAATTTTTGTTGATTATGGTACGTGAACTCAGGGCCTGGGTGCTGTTCCCAAGCCAATGTGGTCAAGGCTAACACTACCACTTGAGCTGCAGTGCCACTTCAGTTTTGTTTTTTGTCAGTTGTGGGTCTTGAACTCTGGGCCTGGGTACTGTCCTTCAGCTCTTCAACTCAAGGCGAGTGTTCTACCACTTGAGCCACAATGCCACTTCCAGTTTCCTGTGATATGAGTCTCATGGACTTTCATGCTCAGGCTGGCTTTGAACTGTGATCCTCAGATCTCAGCCTCCTGAGAGTAGCTAAGATTTCAGGCATGAGCCACCAGCACCTGCTCGCCACTTCAGTTTTTTGAGTGGTTGATTGGAGATAAGAGTCTCATGGACTTTTCTGCCTGGGCTGGCTAAGAACTGTGATTCTCAGATCCCAGCCTCCTGAGTAGGTTTAAAGGTGTGAGCTACCAGCACCCAGCTCCTGCAGTTAATTTTAACCATCAAAGGTAAATTTCTAGCTGACAGTACCATCTGTAATCCCAGCACTTAGGAATTTGAAGCAGGAGGTTTATGAGTTTAAGACCAGCTTGGGCTAGTGAAGTGAGATTCTGTGTTCAAAACCATTTTCTGGTCTTCCTTACTATATAGTTAGAATTGCACTAATAGCCTAAATTCTATTAGTGGGTATCTCATGGGCTGCAGACCAGGCAGAGACTGGGAGAAAGCCCTGCAGCTTCAACTCAGCCAGGGGCCACTGTCCCTGAGCTCTTAAACCCTACCACAATCATGGACTTGCCCAGGCTGGCTTTGAACCAATCCTCAGATTTTAGCCTCCTGAGTTGTTAGGATTACTGGCCATAGGCACCCTACATGAGTTGTTTCTTTCCAGTTTAGGGAAAGTAACAATATCATAAACCCCATCACAGAAGCACCTGTGGCAGTGCAGGTTGGTTGATTTTCAAGTTGGGGGGATGAGGAGGAGCAGTAAACATTATGAAAGAAAACCACAGAGAATTAACCTGTGATGCTGAAGCTGCAAGAATGGAAGGCTGTTTCTAGGTAAGTCCAGAAAGCTCAGTCAAAGGGTATTTCATCCAAATTCACTACATAAGCATTTGAATTTATCTTAAGTACTGATAGCTTATGTTATTACTATGTGCCAAGTACGGCCAAAAATAATTTACATTTGGCTATTATTATCCTGTGAGGTAAGTATCAATTATTAAGGCGATATTATGAGATAAGTCTGTTAGATGAAGGAATGAGGCACAGAGACGTTAGATCAAACAGTGACTGAACAGTATAGGTAGGATTTGAACCTGGGCCGACTGGCTTCAGGATCCATATTTGTGATGGCTGTATTAGACTTCCAGTCATTTGGGCTGTTTAGTAATCTAGGAGAGACCCTTAAAAGAAATTGACTGCACAGGATGCCTCTAGTCCTAGCTACTAGGGAGGTACCGTTGAAAGGTCACTTGATCTGAGGAAGACCAGCTTGAGCAGCAATCCTAGATGCTCAGAGCTGAGATCTGAGAATCCAGTCAGCCCAGACAGGAAAGTCCATAAGACCCTTACCTCCAGTTAACCATCAAAACCAGAAATGGAGCTGTGGCTTAAGTAGTAGTGTGCTAGCCTTGAGCAAAAGAAGCTTCGGGACAGAGCCCAGGTCATGAGTTCAAGCTGCAAAACACGCATCAGAGTTAGATTGAGGTTGGTGGGTTGAAAATGAGTAAAAGGTTGCAACCACTAGCCCAGCAAGTGGAAAGTATTCAGAAACAAAAGGTAGCAATGTCGATGGGAAGAGCAAACTGTAAGAGATTTAAAAGGTTATTTTAAATCACACTAGAGGAGTAAAGTGGCTGTAAATGAAAGACACTCCTCGATCTCTTAGCACAGAGCTTTCCTGTAGTGGAAATGCTACCTGTTTGACAGCTCAATCTTAGTAAGTAAGTGGCAGTTCTGACACTTAACACTGCCACAGAGGAACTTTGGTGCCATCTGTTGGCTATATACCTCAACACTTCCTCCTGGATCTAGTCCCTTTTATTCATCTAGATTCTTTTTTCTTCTTCTTCTAATTTTGGAATTTAAGCTTTTTCTGTTGCAAAGGTCATAAAGGACGATCACAGCTTAGAGCTTGTCTCCCTTTACTTCTGAGATGTCGCACATGGAAATCCTGGTTTTGTCACCACTCCTCACACACTGCACAGGCACCTTGTAGTCTCTGAAGCTTTCCGTCCATAAGAAGTAGCATCTATCTTCATTGGTCCTTATTTGCATAGTATTTCTAAACAGTTTTACCCATTCTACTGGATAACTTCCCTCTATAAATTTGCACTAGAGTTTCAAGTCTCCTGGCACTCTACCTTTCTATTGATTTTTGATTTGTCTTTCTAATGTGGCCTTTTGCAAAATTGCTCCCTAAGTAGCACAAATCTGCTTTGAGAGATCTTCCTCATTCTTTTTTATTTATTTTTTACTTTTATTTTATTTTTGTGTCAGTCATGGGGCTTCAACTCTGGGCCTGGGTGCTGTCCCTGAGCTCTTCAGTTCAGGCTAGCACCCTATCACTTGAGCCACAGTGCCACTTCCGGCCTTTTCTGCGTATGTGGTGCTGAGGAATCAAACTCAGGGCCTCATGCATGCAAGGCAAGCACTCTACCACTGAGTCACCTTCCCAGACCCCTCATTCTTTTTTTTAACAGTTCTGCCTTCCTCCATAGTGTGGATCAATCTATCTAGTCCTTTCAACTATTTCATTCCTTTGTTTTGTATCTCCTTACAGTGCTGGGAGCAAACCTAGGCCCCTGTGTATGTTAAACATTGAGCTGTATCCCCAGCCCAACTATCTCACTCTGGCTGTATTTCCAATCTTTGTTAATACAGATAATGGCCCATCATGTTCAGAAGGCAGATTTCCTCTGTAATTATAAGGATATCTATGTTTGGTATTATATATGTTAAAATGTTTAAGGAGGAAGATACTACTTGTATTGATTTTTCTTAAAGATACTATACTTCTGATCATTTTGAATTTCATGGAGCAATTTACGAAAAATCAGGTGAGTTCAGGCTGCTGGCTTGACAATATAATGTGGTTATATTAGTTCTTGGAACAGAGTGATCGATAACACACACACACACACACACACATACACATACACACACACAGCTCTGCTTTACTCACTTTTTTTTTTTTTTGGGGGGGGGGTCTGGTCGTGGGGCCTGAACTCTGGGCCTGGGCACTGTCCCTCAGCTCTTCAGCTCAAGGCTAGCGCTCTACCACTTGAGCCATAGCGCCACTTCCGGCTT